TTAATTCTGTTAACTTTGACAATTATACAAAAATACTCCAAACATACCTCATAGTACCACTTTGACAATGGCAAACTATTGGTTACTGCTAACCAATTACGATGGACCTCAAAGTCAGTAGAGTGACTGAAAATATAATTTCAACAATGTGAACACAATGACTGACATATCTTGTCATAGTGCATGCCCCACTTTTAAAGTTAATACAATGGAGGATTTACAAATCTGTAAAGATTTCTTGGTTCCTCTGGGTCAGTATTCTGATGTTTAGTAAACTGGAAGATGTTTTGGCAACTTGAAGAGGTGAGAGGTAAAATGAAAATCTGAGAGCTTTTGCAGCACAGGGGGCATGCTAACTGACTATCATTAAATTTACGGTTATGTGAAACTATTAAGCACATATCAGATATACACAGCCATTGTCAGTCACATGCACTAGAAACAGACAGGTCTAGGCGAAGGGGACACCCTCCTCCCTTCATTGCCTTTGTCACAATACATGTTCTTAAGCCCTCAGCACGAAGTTTCGAGGAGTAGCACTACCATCAAATGTTTCTGCAGGTATATGTGGCGCTTGAAAAAAAGCTTCCAGATAAGCCCCTTTCCACACACACACTCGGACTCACTCCTGAAACTTGCTTGTTACGAGCCTGATATGATGCTTACAGATACACTTTGTGGTCACTGTATTGTATGTTACTCGGGTTTTAAATACTCACTAAGTTGGAATAAGAAGAATTTTCACAGCGGTAACAAAAGCCGCAATGCCCCACACATTTTGCATTTTCGGCAGCACACGTGGGAATGTGTATATACTATCAACCGATACTGCACATGACGTCACTTCCTCAAAAGACTACGTCAGTACAACTGCACTAAACGGTGACTAAACACGGTACGTGTAGTAGGCCTACTGTGTATGTTTAGATATCCTAGATTATGTACTCAGAATTATCTAACAAGGTAGAAATTGCATTTCACTTTTATTGGGATACTGCCATGACATCTGGGTGCGATAAACTTTGGAGGGTAAAACTCGGACGTCAACGATCACGATCTACATGTAAAACCATATCCAAAACCCAACGGAAGTTTGAGAAGATGGACATGATAACATAATTTTTTTCTACATTTATTGATTTTTATTCATTTCTGTCTTTGATTTAATAAGCTAAATAAAGAGAGGGACCAACGTAGATTTAATGGAAATAACAAAAGAAAAACGTACCGGTAGGCTACGTGTACGTACACATGTAGGCTACATGTACATGTGCATGTACGTCACATGCTTCCCTGTTTCATCACGAAACAACTTACGTCATCAGATTAACAGTTAAAGTTTGCAAGCACCTTCCTGCATGTATTAATACATGAAAAAACAATGTCATGCACAGATATCCTGATTCCTATCCATAGAAAGCTTAAAATATTTTCGAACCCACATAGAATTTATCGCTCTTTGACTCAGTTCTTTCAAATAGGCATACGGTTGGTCATTTTTCTTCGAAATTCAGTAAATATAGATATCTTGCTGTTTCTTCGTTTAATTAACCCACTTCCTGACACTTCCGAAATCCGGATACCGGCCTGCACATAGGCCTACTGTATACGTAGAAGCCTAAGGGCCAATATACTGACCATTGATATCCGTATTGAAATTAGGCCTACCACAGAGCGATAGGGGCCTATCTGCTGTAGCCCAATTAAATCAAGCAAGAATATAGGCCTACAGAGTATGTAAACCTCTTTCCTACACGGCAGATGTATGTAATAATACAATACCTTCATGTTGTGCGTTGTTCAAGCAATGTACAAAAACCGAACACTTCAAGAGAGAAAGAAAGATAAAAGGGAACTTTTATCCACTCGCAAACACAAACTCATTCAGTCACGCACCCACCTACTCCGACATTCACTCACATAGCAACAATTCTAAGAATTTTTATATAAATCTTAGTTGAATGAATTTTCATCTGAAGAAGCCACGGCAGAAAAAGTTAAATGGTATGTGACTGACTTTTATGTTGATCCTCACTGCAGTTTGAGAAAAGTGCCCACCCTGGGAACGGACGTGGGTCCCCCAGAAGCAGTTTCAGAGCCGCGAGAAAGAAGTGTCCGCCCCGCGAAATGCTCACAAGACAGCGGGTTATTTTAATTGATGGGGAAAGTAAAGATATGAGCGCCGGGCAAAAAAAATTAAATATGTGACATAAATATGGTAAGTAAAACAAAATTATTCACCGCGTGCAGCATTGTTTATACACAGAAACCGTTGATGCGGTAAATACACTGTATGTGTAATAAGTACGTGTATAGTGATAAATTACATGTAAGTAATGGGCGAGAAAAAAATAAAGAGAAAATATTCATAACGAATGTATCAAGTGCTTTTTGAAGATGTCTGCACAGCAAAAAATAAATAAATAAATAAATAAATAAACTTGCTTTTAGGAATAAACAAACTTGCACTTAGGGTATCTTTACGCGACGACAAACTTTGGGTCCTAAACATTTTCACTGCCGATAAAAAGATTAGAACTTGTAAAACCTACAATAACAACGATATCCTATATTGTAAGCTCTCCGGTAAGTACTCCGTGAACTACATTGATTTGATTGGTATTTTACAAATATAGATAAATGAATAAATAGAAATAAATAATGTCACTAGCAACGCAAAGACATCAAGAAGGTGGAAGGAGGGGTGTCAAAGATTGAAACTACCTGTGTGATTTCAGTTTATTCAGTTTGTTCTTTCAAAATGCACTTATTTTAATTTGCAACTCTATAGTACCTAGCAATAGCAACTTTCTTGTAATAGAAGATAATTAAATAACCTCTCTCTTCCACCTCTCTCTCTCTCTCTCTCTCTCTCTCACACACACACACACACACACACACACACTTTACTTAATTCCTTCTTTCACTCTCATCTCATTCTCCTTCCGACCCCCACCCCCCCACCCCTTCATCCCTCCCACAACCCCCGGTAGTAGAGAATCATACAACGCAAGCGATGGGTGATGTTACGATTTTGGGGAGCGTCCAAGAATTCCGTGAACCGTAACATGTGTTAAGGAAGGTAGGAATTCGGATGACATTTAGTTTCATGGTCTGGTGTTGCACAGTCATCCCAACACCACGAGATGTGTAATAATGAACACCTTAGGCCTGTCTTATATCGAGTTCATTGACAATTATCTTATGCTCACAGACCTTTCTCTCATTATTATGTACATGTACCGGTATATTATTAAAATATTCGTGTACAGTGGCAATGGCACGCGAGGTCAGAAGCTTTGCTTTGTACATGAAGACTGATGACGTCAGCAGCTGTTTAATAAACACAGATGTTTTAATTGAGTCTTCAAATCGCCCAGATATCCGAACCCAGCTTGGTATTTTCAATCTGCCACACCACCTGCCGCAAGATGCGGCTTGCATCAGCTCTTCATTCACTACAGTGGAGGTGTGTCCCTAATACTGCGCTCTGATTCGCTGCTCTAAATGACAAGAGGGTCGCGCCCCGGGACAAAAAACCACAACCTTTCTTTGTAAGCGCATTCCTGATTACCATCAGTTCCATGGCCATTTCCTCGACGTCTAGACAATTTGGACGGTTTAACCGAGTGCTAGTCTCGCTTGAATAAAAATATATGTCGAGCTGTTTGGCAGGTAGCCAAAAAAGAGGCTTATTGGACGTGTAATGTCGCTTTTTGCGGTGCTGCGGCAGGTATGTGTCCGACACGGAAGCGTAATTTACTACAATCATACAGTCTTATTGGATTTTAGATGAGCGCGTGATAACAATGTCTCTATAAATTAGGAGTTATAAAACATCGACGTATAATAATGTCTTGATTTTAGTATGTTCTTTCTGGACGCCTTATAATATTGTGTTATCAGGGAGCGAACTCTAACTATGACCTAATTCCTTTTAGAAAGTAAATCCCAATGACTCTTGTATTTTGTAACAGAGTGAAGGTAGAGAATGGAATTAATAAAGCCTTACTTGCACGCTGTAATTTTGAAGGAAACTTATGAAACTGTCCCACATTTTAGCATGCTCCGGAAATAAGGTTATTGGGTGCAAAGTCTGAAATGTAACTTTATGCCATGTTTACTAACAGTGGAGAGAGAGAGATGGAGGAGGAGGAGGAGGAGGAAGAAACTATAAAACTAAAATGACATATCTGATCAATTCATTCTCCTCCTCTGAAAAACAAAACTATCTGTATAAATAAAATATCTACCTCTCTTGTATTTGACCGACTTAAAGCAACCAACAGACAATGAATAGCTGTGTTTTTTTTTTTTTTTTTTTTTGCAAACTTATACAACAATGAAGTAGTTCATCACACAATACGGAGTCATGCAATATTTGAATCATCATTTTTTGTCTGTTTATCAAAATGAAAGTTTTCAGTTGTAAATTCTGTTTAAAAACATTACTAAAGGTGAATTGTTTGTTTAAGGCCTATAAACGCACCGGTATTTGTAATATAAAAGACAGTATTGCTTCATAATACAATAGATTGATTTAGAAAGCAGGTCTACTACAGGGTATCTACGTACATTCATTTCAATCAGTTTTATCAAAGAAGTTTTAAAATGTGTCAGCCAATATTACCATTTCTTATAGTAAAGCTCTCACGAGTCGATATCGTGATCGATACCTGATCTGTTTAGCTTGTGTATTGATTCTGTCACGTGTTACTTAAGTTTTCAGCGACATATTTTCTCTTATTTCAATAAAAAGTGATCTAGTTCTTACATAAGAAACATCTACACCGTCAAGTGCCACTGGATATGAAGATGCCACCTCCATGTTTACATAATCTTGTAATGAACAGTAAAATTTCTGAACTTTTATCTTTTTGTTACCCCGAAATAATTACATGCGCTAAACATGTGAGCGCTACACATTCTTGTATAGGTGCCAAAAATGATGACACGCGTAAAACGTACTGATCACACCTGCTTTTGATCTAAAAAAAAGTAATAATAAAAGGCGCCAACATCGCCCAGTTACGTTCGGGTCAAATATTCACTACTGTTGGCACGTTTTTCATTGTTTTTAAACCCAGACTGTGCCTTATCTGGACTCAATCGAAGGAAATATGCGAATCTGTTCACCTCTGTCGTAAAACAAGGTAAAGATATGGCGACAGATGGTGGAAAGTTCACCGACTGATCTTTTCTGTTCTCACGCCTTCAAACTTTACTTTGGACTAGCGCCAAATTCGACAGAAATCCTTTGTTCAACCTTCATACTTTGGAGTCGTTTGCGGGGCAAATGCAATTTGAACTAATTAACTGTCGTTTGAAGCTTATATAGTTATCTAATAAGTAGGCAAATTAGCTTTTACAATATTCAACTTAGATGAACCAAAAGAAAAGTTCTGCTCAGCGCATTGGAGGACATGGATTGTTGTACATTTTACTGACCACAAACTGTGAGTGAATAAAACTTTTGCAGTTATTTTACATGAATATCCCTTTCTACACAACACTTTCAGATCATTTTAACTAGTCTCTCCCACTCACCAAGCCGTAACGAGCAAAAAAAATCGAATTAGAAAGGATGCTGGAAAAATGTGCTGTCGTTTTTCTATTATGCTAGGCAGTAAGATCAACTAACTTGTTTTATTGATGCCGTTGCAAATGCAATTAAGCTCTCTTCAAATGTTTCGTTAACGAAAACTGCAAACTGACAACTGTCTAAAAATCCTCATCACCTTCTTTTCATCACCAACTTCAATCAAGACGATGGAAAGGTATATTAAATCAACCGTATTAAATGACATTAACACCACCGTTTACAATGTAAAGGCAGCATGCAAGCTGATTAACCTCTTCTTAGCAGTATTGGTTAATTCCGCGCATTTTTTTTTTTTTTTTTTTTTTTAGCATGGGAGTCGTGTGTGATTTGCCTTAGTTTATATCGCTATCAATATTTTTTTTATCCCTAAAAGTGCACGAAAACTGTTGCACCTAGAAGCACTGCAGCCTATTTGGTCAGTTAAATGTATAACCATCTGTAAAGTGTTACGTTTTTATCGGGTTAACATGTATTTGAATGTTGTTGACAGTCGGCCTCTTTCCTGGGATATATACGTATACACGTAGCTGAGCGTTTATTGTTCAAAGAAGTAGGCATACACTTGTGCATTGATTAATTTCGTCAGAACTACCATTTTTATCGGGTACGCCTACAGTGTGGTTTCAGCGGTTTGTTTGTTGGCAGGTTTCAACCAGTTCATGTGACCCCGTTCACCCGAGTTTTGTTCAAAAATATCATCTGAGGGCATCAGATGTAAATAGAGTGCCACCCTGTATACTGAGCAAACAGATTGGCTAAAAATAAATACATATTTATACCTTTAGGCCTATATATCTATGAATGTTGTTGTTTTTTTTTGTGTGTGTTTTGTGGGTCTATTAAAATATCCTCCCTCCCCAATAGGCCTTTCAGCCAACGGGTAGCCCTATAGACCTGGAAATCGATGTGTAGGCCCTATATAGGCCTATATAGCCTAGGCTCTATTCCTGTTTTGACGTTAAGATTTGATTCATATATTGCTATTACGTGAACGCATGCCAGGCCCTCATATATTAAATGTCTTTAATAGATAATGCAAAAACCTAGACCTGCTTATATAGATTTTAGTAAAAAAAAATCAATTGACGGAGCCAATATAGGCCTAATTGCTCCCCCCCCCCCTTCGTTTGTCTCCTGAGCTTTCATGGATTGTTCCTCAAAATAGCCTAGATTCTGCTTGTAAAACTGCCAAATATCCTAAATATTCACCAGAAGACGACCATCGAAGTAAACAAGCCATCTTCTGTAATCATGCTGGTTCATTTATGATCATGACCCGTTTTACCGTATTTCTTCTCGGGACATTAGGCTAAGCTACGAATACCTTCGTTCCTAGTGCTTGATCTTGTTTGTTGGTTCTCTTTCAACATGCCCGGTCGGGGCTTACGCCCGTTAATGGATTAATAATTTTTTGCAAATATTCACATTCCCATTTTGCAAAATTTATCACTTAAAAGAATTTTTTACACGAAAGGTTGTTAATAAAACATATATTTAGGAATAGGGAGGCATTTTGAGTATTATTTTGAAATATAGCACGTAAAAACGGAAGGGCAGTTTGTTGGACATGTACAATATCCATACCTTTATTGATTTTTTAACGTTCGAGTCAATGTTCTAGCAATGTGCGTTGCAGACTTCCTCTCTGCGGTCACAAAAACAGGATCGAACTAGATCTGTGTGGTTCAAACTAGTTAGAACTGGTTTGGAGAACGTGGCTTTTTTATTGGTGAATGAAAATTAGTCTCTGTGACGTAAGATGCTTCATGGTCAAACAAGGGAATGGCCCCGCCCTCAGATCTGTATCCTCTCCGATAATTGGTTGATGATATAATGAGATGCGGCTCTGTGTGTATGTAGTCAGCGGCATGGCAGTGAAAGTAAATTAGAATTTCTTTGACAGTAAAGAGGTATTCGGCAGTGATATTTTCCCCCCGAACCACCATCTTGGTTCTTCGATACCACCTTTGTTGGTTCCTTGATACCATCACCGGGGAAAATGAAGAGAATCTATGTACAGATGAGTAGCTTCGTGAAGGGGAGGAAAGCGGCAGGTATAATTTTTGAGTACATGTTAGCAGAACGTAATACATGTAGATTTGACACACGTACGTGAGAGCGAGATGCGCTAATTGGCAGTGTTCTTTTTGGGGCAGTTCTATTGGTCTTTACCATTTTGTCCCGTTCGACTTACTTTTACTTCCCGTGTATGCATAGAGATTAACTTCTTAGCTTAATCTTATAGCGATACAACGATAGTTAATCGGTGTCAAATCTATCAAAAGGCCTTCACAGTTCCGTGAGCGACGGGTTAAATGTGCATAGGCGAGGTCAATTCCCGTCGTGATTCCTTCTGCATGATTTAACAAGTATCCACGCCATGAATACCTTTTTTGTTGATAGAATTTTAAGATATTATTTATTCATGATTGTCAGGTAAACTGGTGTCGCAAACCTGGTAAATGGCTGTTCTTTTTTATTGGAATGGTGACTGGGGATGTTATTAAAGATTTTAAGTCTAAAGAAGGCTTCCATCCTCAGATTATAAGTGCATGGTCTCAGCAGCAGGAAATTGAAAAATTCATCAATTATCCCCTAACTAAAAGATTCACCCTCTAAAATACATTTTACAAAGGTCAGAGCTGAATCAAGAGTAGTGACTTTTCAGTTGTTTGATATTGATTTTTTTTTTTTGTGGTGTTGTTTACACAAGCATAGCAACTGTAAGTACAAAAGAAATGTTTTTTTTCCCTACTGGTACCTGTACTACATGTTATTCATTGCATTCCTGATTTGACATTCAGATCATACCAGTTTAACAATAAAAAAGGGCTAGTATTTTTTAGAACAATAAAATAATCATACTCTCATATTTTAATAATTTTAGGACCAGTGGGTATTTCCATCATCCTAGGCCTCCTAAGCTTCATGCCCAGACTGTTGATTGTCACATTTCTATCCAAGACACCAGAGCCCCCATTGGAGTGGTGGCAGACCTCCGTCATATACCAGGTCTACCCTCGGTCCTTCCAGGATAGCAATGGAGACGGGGTTGGCGATTTGCAGGGTGAGTTTATGGAGAAAAGTTGTTAGTTTTTTGTTTTTTGTTTTTTTTTTTTGGGGGGGAAATACAGGCATTTTACTATTTGCAGGTTTCCTTGTGTGATTTATTGCAGTGTTGGTTTAATATGAAGGATACACATTAAATTAATCAATATTGTCTGATAAGCCAGTCTGAGGGTTTTGACTGACTGGTTGATTAAAAAAAGGAGAAAATAATTGGGAGAAAAAAACTGCATAATGATTTACTTATTGACATTTGACACGTGAAACAAAACCCAGTGGATGATTCACACAAGATGACTAACAAAGGTCATGTTATGTCTGCATCTTGTGAATCAATAACATATTATAATGATATTATATTATAATGACATAAATATTTTTACAGGCATCCGCTCACGACTGGACCATCTTGAGTACATCAACGCTCGTGCCTTGTGGTTGAGCCCCATGTACGAGTCGCCTATGCGTGACTTTGGCTACGACCCTTCTAACATCACTAATATTGATCCAATCTTCGGAACAATGGAGGATTTTGATGAGCTGCTGGCAGATGTGCACAGTAGAGGTAAACGCATCTTAATTGCTCTGCTCTATACTGTACTTTAAGGCTTGCTTTTCAGCCTTTTGTTACAAAGCATACATGGGGATGTAAATGATTTTTTCTCGACTCAATATTTTTAGATGAACTAAAAGTATGTTAAAGGTGAAACTTTTGTATTATATATGCATTATTCTTGTGTCAGTTTTTTTCAATGTTCGATAACTGTAATTCTTATTAAACTTAAATCAAGACATTAGATTAAAGTACACTTATGCTTATTTATCTTTAATCATTATTTTTTTAATAGGAATGAAAATGATCCTGGACTTCATTCCTAATCACACCAGCGATCTGCACAAGTGGTTTCAGGCCAGCAAGGCTGGAGTTGAGGAATACAAGGACTACTATGTTTGGACAGATGGGAACCTGACTGCTAACGGGACCAGAGTGCCGCCCAACAACTGGAAGAGTTTCTTTGGAGACTCTGCCTGGGAGTGGGTGGAGGAACGACAGCAATTTTACCTGCATCAGTTCCTGAAAGAGCAGCCAGATCTTAACTATCGCAACCCAAAAGTTGTGGAAGAAATGACGGTATGTGTATTTTCTAGTATAGTACATGTACTAAAAATATCTTATAGTTATTGTCAATCCAATAATTAACAATCGCTTTGAATTTTTTTGATACTATTAATTTAAATTTCTGAAATAGAACATTATTTAGGCAGTTTCCACTGTCAAATTGTTTTGATCAATTTTTTAAAATTGCCCAGAAAAATCACTTATCCACATTTTATTTTCCAGAACGCCCTTCGTTTCTGGTTAGAAAGGGGAGTTGATGGGTTCCGCATAGATGCTGTCCTTACCATGTTTGAAAGCGCTGACCTCTCCCTCAACGAGCCACTGAACAACCGACCCGGCGCCGAGCTGTGGCAGTACGAGTCCTTGGAGCACATCTACACAAGCCACCAGCCAGAGACCTACGAGGTCATCGCCAAGTGGCGCCACCTGGCAGATGAATACTACCAGAAAGATGGCAACTACAGGTTCCTGGTGACCGAGGCTTATTGCGAGACCATTCAGCAGGCCATGTACTATTACCACACTGGCGCTGACATGCCATTTAACTTTGATCTCGTTTTCCTCAACCGCACCTGTGGCGGTGACTGTGTGGACAGGGCCATCAGCAACTGGATGACCAACATGCCCATTGGCAAGTGGCCAAATTGGGTTATCGGCAACCATGACAACAAGCGCATAGCAACCAAAATGGGCACTGAATTTGTGAATGCCATGAACACACTCCTTTTGCTGTTGCCAGGCACTCCAACAACTTACAATGGTGAAGAACTTGGTTTAACAAATATCGAAGTGTCCTATGAAGATACACAAGACCCCTTTGGAAAAAGATTCGGCCCTGAGAGATACCATGAGGTCAGCCGAGACCCCCCTCGAAGCCCCATGCTCTGGGACAGCACACATTCCTCAGGGTTCTCCAACGCAACAAAAACATGGCTTCCAGTCCACCCAGACTATGAAATCTTCAACGCAGAAGCACAAAAGAAATCAGAGGGTGTGACACCACTCAAAATGTACAGGGACTTGTCCTTGCTTCGACAAGAAGCTACGTTCCAAAGGGGCACATTCAGACCTCTATTGGTGGACGAGAACATCTATTCTTTTGTGAGAGAACTAGAGGGAGAGTCCCTGTATTATGTTG